TTTTTTTTTTTTTTTGGTGGAACCGGGGATTGAACTCAGGCCCTTGCACTTGCCAGTCAAGCGTTTATTCTACTGAGCTATCTCCCCGGCCCCTTTATTTTCTTTTAAAATGCTTCTAGGTCCTTTGAATATTTTGCCAACATAGGTATGCATTCATGATCAGAAATCTTAAGGTCCATTTCAGCGTGCATGTTAATCTATAGGTAATATCCCCGGAAGGATCATATTATGTTGTTAAAACACAGGCCATACTGGAATAATCATGGAGGAGAAATTACATATTCTGGTAATAAAGTTAAATGAAATTGCAAATGTAGTCTTTTCCTAAATATGTTAAACATCTTTTCCTTTCATACTCTTATTGATTACTTGTATATCTTTTTTGTAGGCATTTATTCAACTCCTTTACCCTCTGGATTATCTTTTTTTATTTCTGAGTCGTAATTCTTTATATATCCTGGGTGATAGGTGATATATATAACTTTGTGTGATTTATAAATATTTTCTCTCATTGTTTAAAAAAGATTGTCTTTTCACTTCTTCAATAATGTCCTTACCTATATAGAAGTTCTTAATTTTGTAAATTCCAGTTTATTTATTTTTTTGTTGCTGGTTGTGCTTTTGGCCTCATATCTGACAATCTGTCAAACTAACAGTCTTAGGAATCTATTCTCAAGCTTTGAAGACTTTTCCTGGTTTAGTTCTTATATTTAGGCCATTGACTCATTTATAGTTAGTTTTTATTAGTATGAAATATTCCAAGGACCACTTATTAAAAGACTATTCTTTTTTCCCTGAATTGTGATAGAACCTCAGTCAAAAATCAGCCAATCCTGGGGCCAGGGATCTAGTTCAGCGGTCTAAGTGCCTGCCTGGCAAGTGCAAAGACCCAGTTCAATCCCCATTACTGTATGCCATACGACAACACACCTGTAATCCCAGTGCCTGGGAGGCTGAGACAGGAGGATCACTAGGAGTTTGAGCTGTGTAGCAAGACCCTGTTCTAAATAAATAAAACATTTTTTAAGTTAAAAAAAAACTGATCATAGGTGTGTGTTTTTTGGTTTAATTCTCACAATTATATTCTATTGATTTCTGTGTCTATCCTATGTCAGTGCCATGCTGTTTTCATTTATGCAGGGGTTTTTTGATATGTCTTGAATGGAAATTGAGTCCTCAAACTTTCTTTGTCAATATTGCTATGGCTACTTAGGGCTACTTAAAATTCTGTATGAATTTTAAGATGAAAATATCCAGTGTTTTTGGCAAAGAGGCAGGAATTGCAGGGGAGGCTTGAGATTTTGACAGGAACTGTATTGATTGTAGGTTAAGTTGAAAGCACTAACCACTTAACTATTTTAAGTATTCCAATTCATGACACAAAATTCTTTGCATTTAGATCTTCTTTAGTTTGTTTTAGCAAATATTTGATAGTGTTTAGTGTAGTATTCTTGTAAGTGCTTGATAAATTATTTCTAAATTTTTTGAAAATTTTTTACTTTAATTTTCAAATTTTTAATTGCTAGTGAAGAATAATTCCACTAAAAGCTGTCTAGTGATCTTGTATTCTGCAACTTAATGAGTTTGTATATTAACTAATATGCCTGTGTATAACCTTTTGAATTTTTTCTGTGTTTGTGATCACCTATATACATGATCCTTTCAAATTTGGATGGTTTTTGCTTCTCTGTGCTGTCTACTTGCTTTGTCTGTATTAAAGAGATCAAAGCAGCCATCCTTGCTTTTGCCTGATCTTTAGAGGAAATCTTTAGTTGTTGACCATCATGTTAGCTGTTGGCTTTCACAAAACTCCTCTCCTAATTTTCTGAGTAGTTTTTCTTGTTTGCTACAAAAGTGTGTCAGATATTCTCAAAGCATTTTCTCCATCAAATGAATGGTTTTTTTCTCTTCATTTTATTGATCTGCTGTATTGTATTGATTAATTTTCTTTTCTAAAAATTTTTAGAGTAGGAAAATGTATTGGAGAAAAGGATTTGGGAATAGGAATGAGAGAATGAGAAATATAGGACTAGCTCCTGAGAGAAAGGAGGGGTCCTGAATGGGTTGCCAGCAACCCCCACAAAGGAAGTTTTATAGAGTACAATCATCATGTGGGTACAATGTGGGCCAAAATTTTGATCAATAAGATTGCAAGTATAGTTGCCTAGGTAATACTGTTTTAATGGTAGCAAGAGTACATGGGTGACATCAGTCTTGGTCTATACTCTATAGTTGTCATCTTGTGTTTGTTTTTTACTAGTCTTGGTCTAGCTGTTAATGCTCTTTGTCTTAGTGGGAGGGAGAGGGCAGCCCATCCAAAGGAGATGACGGAAAATTCTATGGATAGTACCAATAATCCCAAGCCTCTGTTCATCCCTTAGGGAAATAAGTAAAAGTGGCCATTGTGATTTTTTATTTATTTATTTATTTATTTATTTATTTATGTTTGTGTATTTGGTACAAGGTCTCACTATGCAGCTCAGACTCATAGTGATCCTCCTGTTTTCATCCTCCTCAGTGCTGGGACTTCCGGCACATGCCACCATGACAGGTCTGTAGCCGGCTTAGGATGCCCAGGGGCGTGGCTGGCACAACGTGTGGTGCCAGAGTTCCAGCCCCAGTTCCTGAGTTTGCCTAAACAGTGTTTAGCCTGCTGAGCTGTCTCACCAGCCCTCTCATTGTGATTTTAATCTTCAACTGCACCTCCAGCCACAGTCCTGCTGCATTTGTATCTTCTATACTGACTCCCTGGAGGGCCCAGACTTCTGAATGCCTACTATACTTCTACCTAGCTTAGCTGTCTGTACTAAGCCCCACACCCTCTATATTCCTATCTGTTTTTAGGAGGTGAGGGGTGTTGTTTCCATCTGGCTGCTTTGAGCTGAGAAGAGTTGGTATATGGGAATCCATAGTCAGGAACCTTCTCCCAAGAGTAATTTAATGGGTGTTGGTTAGAAGCCATGTTGTAGTTCAGTAGTACTGTATTGAACTCTTTATAAGGTCAATCCAGGGGATCCCAGAAAGGGAGTCTGGCACATTTGTCATTGGTTCCATCTACAAAATCATTTGGAGCTTGGCAACATCACCTTCCAGATATCTCAGTGAAACCTTTAAGATGCTATAGAGGAAATGCTAGATGCCAAATGCACCAAGTTCATTTTCCCCCAAATTGAAGAATGAATTCTAAGGAACAATGGAAGTTAACAGTAGGAAAATTTGTTGGAGAAAAGGAATGGAGAACAGGAACAGCTCCTGGGAGACAGGAGGGATCCTGAATGGGTTACCCACTTAATTTTCTATATTGAACCTTACTTGCATTCCTGGAATAAAATCCCAATTAGTCTTGGTATATGATTCCTTTACTATGTTCTCAGACTTTCTTTTCTGATATTTTGGTTTAGCCTTTTGTCACAGGAGATAATGGCCTATAATTTAATAAAATGACTTTAAGGTAATACCGGCGTTAATATTTGGAAGTATTTCCTAGTCTCCTAAATTTTGGAGCAACTTGAGGAAGATTTATGTTGATTAATTTTTTATGTTTTGTAGACTTTAAAGTGATGCTTCATGGTCCTAAAGTTTTCTAAATTTATAGGCTTTTATTTACTGATTAATTTTTCTTCACAGTTATTTTCAGATTTTCCTATCTCAGAAAAAAAGTTCGTCTTGATAGTTTGGTATTTCTATGAATGCAGCACCAATCATTGAGGTAGTCCAACTTGATGTACAGTTTTAAAGAGTATTGTCTCATCTTTTCTTCATTATTCAGTCAAAATACTTGTCAATTTTCTTTTATCTTTTCAAAGAATC